CACATCGGTTGTGAAGGGGAACGAAGCATGCCATATAAGTGGCTGTGGATACCTTCACTAGTGTGACGCGTTTTGGTGAGTTGGTCTCCCAAAGGCAAAACCGTGCGGGTGAGCGTGCCCAAAGCGGACAATATCGCACTACGGGGTTAAGATGCTGGGCTGTTACATATTATGTTATATATATTAATACTAATTATCTCTAACAAAATACTAATGAATGATGTTATTAGAAATTGTAGTCCCTTTTTTTTTTTTGGGGTACAAGAAAGGAGGCAAAGCCTAGAGCCCGACTATGTCAACACCCTTCCGGGATGAGACACGCCGGCAATATCATGCTGTAACCATGGGCCTGCCCCCGGAGGCGGGCGGTCCAAAATATGCAGGCCTCCCGGTCCTTTAGCCGCCAACGAAGCCAGAAAGTCCGCCACAAAGTTAGCTTCACGGTATCCATGAATAAGCGTCACATGCCATGGACGATGTAGAAGATCCTTAATGCACTTCAAGAGACTCCCATGCGGTCCGATAGTATCATCGTGGTGAATCATCGTAACTACATTCTGATTATCAACCTCCACCGTGATTTTATGTGCACCAATATCCCAAGCCAGCTGCAACCCCTGAAATAAATCCCACAGTTCGGCGCCCATGATCGAACAGAACCCAATATTCATCACAAAGCCCCGAACCCAATTGCCATGATGATCACGGACGACCCCACCCGCGCTCACCATCCCCGTCAATGGGGCAAAACTACCATCGGTATTGACTTTGAGCAACCCTACCGCCAGAAAGGACCAAGATATCCATTTTTGTTCCTGCAAACCACAAGCTCCTAACTTTCCACTAGTGGCCTGAATACATTGAAGCTTGCTCGCAAAGGCCCGGACTTCACCCAACCTGTGTACCAAATTCGTATCCTCTCCTTCAAAGACTTTAAGGTTCCGCCATCGCCACAAGCGCCATACCGTAATACCGAAGAGTGTCTCCCAATCGGCAACATCCGGGACTAGCCGTCCGTTTAAATTTTTATAAAACCATGACCGAAGGTCTAGAGAGAAAAACCTGTTCCAAAGGCATTGCGGGACCAATTTCTGCCAAGTCTCTCGCGCAACAGCAAAATCACGGAGCACGTGGATCGTGGTTTCGAGGGCCACCGAGCAGACAAGACAGCCCGCATTGTCAGCAAGGTGACGCCGACGGTGGACTTCATTGGTCAGCAAACTGTTTCGAGCGGCAAGCCAAAGGAAATGGCGAACCCGCTGCGGACCAATCCACTGCCAAATAACCCGCCACAAACTCTCGGCACTGCGATTGCCCGTCTGAGATAGTGCCAAATATGCGGACCGCGTCGAAAATTTCCCGTCGGTCGACCACCCCCAGAAAAGCCCATCGTCTCCATTAGAGGCCTGCGGCGGCGGTAAAGCTGAAATTCGTAAGAGGCAGGTCGCGCGGCAGCAGACCTTGGAAGGCGGCCCAGTCTCAGCCCCCACCCGGAATGACGTAGGAGGCGACCGGAGCAAACAACATCGATTCTGGCACCGGGGCCATCGCAAAACTGATCAACGGGTCAGTGCATATTTAGCCACCTGTCCCACCAAAAGCGAGCAGTCTGGCCGTCCCCCAAAGACCATCTACATCCCTCAACTGTCTCCCTCCAAACATCTCTAATTGCTCGAAGCACCGTCGAGCCCTGTGGAAATTGAAAATTCGCACCCATCTCCAAAGGTTGGAGCTGATACTTCGCTCGTAGCACACGACACCACAATAGACTCGGCTTAGTAAGGAAGGACCAGGCCATCTTCATAAGCAAGGCTTTGTTCATTAGTCGTTGTTCTTTCTTCCCTAAGCCACCCTCTGACTTTGGGCGACAAACATCAGACAATGACACCAAGTTGATTTTACGGGCCGAGGACGTGCCACCCCATACAAAATTTCGACACTTACGTTCCAAGCTATCACACACTCCATGCGGCAAAGAGGCCGTATGCATGGAGAAATAAGGCAGAGAATTCAAAACGGACTGTGCCAGCGTCACCCGCCCCGCCATAGAAAGAGTTGAAGCCTTCCATCCAGCTAATCGGTTGTCCGCCTTTTCAAGGATGTCAACGTACGTGGACTTAGTAACTCGGCTATGTATGATAGGCATCCCCAGGTAGCGCCCCAAATTCTCCACAGCCTGAAACCCCAACAGTTGGTCCAGCATCACGCGTACATCAGACGTCACATTTGAAGAGAAAAAGATCTATGTCTTGGGCTCACTAACTTTTAAGCCCGAGGCCTGACAAAAAACCTGTAAAGTACTCTTTAGACAGTCAGCTTGGTCGCGGGTCGCCTTTGTAAACAAGAGTAGATCATCGGCAAACATGAGGTACGGCATGGTTATGAGGTCGCTCCCCACTGTGATCGGCTTCCACGTCCCCGCAGACATGGCCTCGTCTATCAGGTGAGCCAACCGTTCGATGCACAGTACAAATAAGTAAGGCGAAATAGGATCGCCTTGGCGAACACCTCGAGTTGGTGTGAACTCTTCACTAACACCCCCATTCCGCTGCAACCGCATAGTGGCAGAAGTGACGCACGCCATCACTGCATTCACAAAAATGGCCGGAAAACCGACCAATTCCAATGTCTCTCGAATGAAGTCCCAACTGAGGTAATCATAGGCCTTTTCCAAATCCACCTTCACAGCCATAAACCCCGTCTTCCTCGACTTTCGGCGCATCGAATGAATAAGTTCCTGGGCCAGCACAATGTTGTCAGTGATATGCCGACCCGGGACAAAACTCGCCTGGGCAGGGTTAACGAT